TTATAGTGCTAACTTGCAGACCCAGAAGTCAAGGGCAGATTTGTCTGACACCTGAGCTGAATGCACTGCCTTTCTGCAAGGCATGGGCTGCTGGATATGCCCTAAGTACACATGGCGCAACCAGTCTGCATTTACTTGTGGCCCTGGGTACTCAGTTCACTGGCTGAGTCTTGGTCTGTTGTCTTGGGAAATGGCGTACAGTCTTGGGTATGAAGGGTGACAAGTCATCCAGAGGTGTTCAAGGCTTCTTTCCTTGTCAGCAGAGTACTGGCTATGTTTGTACACGGTGTTCTGGAAGTTAGTAAGTAGTCTGCTTTTGTCTGCAGTCTGAGCTAGGTTCTAGCTTTTTACCCAAGGCCCTTCCTGCCCTGTCCACCCACTGTCAGGTAGTGTATGGGTAGGCAGGGACAACAGAGCAGCTGTTGATACCTCTTCTTTCCTCTTTGAAGGATCTGATGCTGCTGCCGTTGAGGGCTACTTCATCTATTAAACCCAATACACTTGTCGCAGCTGCTAAGCCCCCGTAAGCCGCCGGGCGCCGTGTTTGTGATGGGACTGACAGTGCATGGAGGAGGCTGATTATACACGATTCCATTTCGCGGGCCCAGCAATGTAATTTCACAGGGCGATCAGCGTTTGCATGTAATAGCAGGCTGTGCTGAGGTGTCAGAATATTAAAGGCGCTAATGGCAAAGCTCCCTGTTACACAGGGGGCCACCCGCCGCGCCTACAGCAGGGCTGTGCAGCAGGCCCGTCGCAGATGGCTGGCCACTAAGCTAATGGGGCAGCAGCCAAGGCAGGCAGAGCCACAAGAGGGGAAAGCCAGCCGGGAGCAGCTCGGCACCTGCTTCCCTGCGCATGGAAATTACAGCGGCCCAGGGGAAGGGAAGTGTGCGTGCCTGCCTGACAGGGTAGGGTGGGTTGGTTCAGTAGATACTGCGTCGTTCAATCCAACTCCACCTGTCCTCCTGGCTCAGCATTTGAGTGCCTGCCATGGACAGAACTTAGGAGCTACTGTCCTTACAAGTCATCTTCCTCTCTTAGCAGTCATCCTTCCACTTGCTGCACCCTCTGGCCAGGACCCTCAGGAGTTAGCTGCTAACCGCACAGCTGGGCAGGTGGGCCTCAATGGCTGAGAGGTGCCGTGAGGAAGCAGCAGCCAGAGAATTTGAAACAGCTCAGGTGCAGAGCGTGGACAGAGCTCTTAAAACAGGTCCCTGTCCCACACTAATCAAGATTAGGCACACCTGGCCGCCGCCTTCCTTCCCCACAGGTTGAAAGGACAGGAGCAAGAAGAGGAAGCCTCTCCCCACTCCTGCCATTCTCCTTTGTCTTGGCTGCATCTTCTGCCTGGGCTGAAGTGCTCTCTGTTGGCTACACTCAGGCCTTGCAGTAACATTCCTCCTAGCCCTTCCTAACCTAGCTTTCCTAGCTTCCTCCAGCCATACACAGGCTCAGCCTCCTGCTCTGCTTGATTGCCAGGTGACTGCCTTGACTTTCCAACCAGAGTCCTCGAAACATGACTTGTATACCTTGCCCTGAGCAGTACTCCTGGAAGAGCTCTAAGTTTGTGTACTGATGCAGTCTTTTTAGGAGGATAGCAGGATGGCAGTCACTGGAGGGAGGGGACTATGGCATGTGTGGGTGTGAGCATGTACATAGTTGATGAATACTCTCTGATGAATATTGCTGAATATGGGAGGCTTCCAAAGGGACAACCAAGGTGTGGGTCCAGGGACAGAGGGGCAGCAGATGTGAGAGGTTCAGAGTACAGTGACGGGAACCTAGGTTGCATTGCTGTAAGGGCCTCAGTGTCTCTGCATTGTCTGTAACTATGACTGCTAGTTCTGCTTGATAGGTACCCAAGATGACGGGTTTCGTTTGTTTTGTTTTGTTTTGGGGGGGGGGGGATTTGAGGTGCTGGGCCTAGGCTGCTTCTGTGAGGCTGGTGGCCGTGTCAGAAGGTTAAGCTCTGGTGAAGAATGTGCCAGTGTTCTCAGCGGGGGCAGCAGGAGGAATCCCAGGCTGAAGGAGAGCAGTTTTAATTAACCGTTTTTAATATCATTTTGGACTTTGGCTGGTATGTGAAGGCCCCGCTGGAAGCAGCATTTGTAAAAATTAAATCCCTCTTATTAGGAGCTTGGCAGACCCATGTGCACATGCCACCCCTCCTCCTGGCCCATACCCCCTGAGGAAGTGCTGGATGAGGCCGTGTCTCAGCAGCAATTGGTTATCATGCCTTATCTAGGAATATGAAACTGTGCAGCATGACACCACAGCCACAGTGGAGACACCAATTCATCTCACCCTTGCTCTGACAAGCTACACTGCCCTTCCTGAAAGGCATCTGTCAGGCAGTACCAGGCTGTACCTTGCCTGCTACTTCTCTCCTGCCTGGGGCTCCCGCTTGCCCTGGTCCAGCCTGGCCCTCCTGGTCTTTGCTGTCCTCCATCCCCCTTGTACACATCCTAGCCGGTGAAGATCTTGGGGAGTCGTAATTACGGTAATAATCTAATCATGTTGACGTAGGGGGCAAGCATCTAGTGTTATCTGAAGTGGTCTTCGCGCGTAGCTGCGATAAGGCTCAGGGTGACGTGCAGATAGCATTGAGATGCCCTGTCCTCAAGCTACAAGCAGAGTGGAGGGGCCGCCACAGCCCTGCCGCCCGCCGCTTTAAGCCGGGAAGCGGCAGCACCTGCTAATGCAAGTGTTTAATATTTGATGGGCTGGGATAAAGCAGGATCACCTTCGAATTGAATTGAGTGTCAGCCGAGAATCTATTACTGAAATTCGGGTGTGATTTGACAGCAAAGTAGACGATGTTATTCTTCACTAGTTACTGCAATCTTCTCCCCGACATCACTTAAATATTTTTTTCTTTGCTTGAGTAAACACACATTATCCTTCTTTTTTCCCCCTTCCTTCCTTTTTTCCTTTTTCAAGGGGGGAAAAAACCCATCCAGCTCACCTTCTCCAGTCTGATAGAGTAGATTGTTATTTCTTTATTTGTCCTATTAAATGGAATTTCTGATCGTTTAATCCGGCCATTGTAAGTGATTTTAAAGTACTTGAAAGGCAGCCGCCACTGCTCTCTGGCTCACTGCGCTCCAGCCTCAGCTGGCCATGCTCAGCAGTTCCCCCAGCTGTGCCCACCTACTGGCTGTGTCCTCTCTCTCTCTCTCTCTCTCTCTCTCTCTCTCTCTCTCTCTCTCTGCATCCTCTTGCTGCATGTATCCTCTTGTTACCTACATCCAGGCTCTGCCAGTGTGCTCTCTCCCAATCCCATCCTTCAGTCCCACACTCAGCCTCCGATTAGTGGCTATAACTGTGACTTGGGAGAAGGTAGAGGAGAGTTGGCTGGAGTTGAGCTGTAGCTGGTCCCTCCGTGGTCAAGGGAAACAGCTTTGGAAAGTACTGAGTTTTAAATTGCATTGGCTCCTAGTCTCCTAGTGCCTGTGGGCTGGGTTCCTAAAGCTGGAAAGGAAAGAAACTGGCCCTCTGCCTACCTAGCTTCTGGGCCCTACACAGTCCCCTCTATCCCCAACACACACACACACACACACACACACACACACACACACACACACACA